TGTTATCTTTGTTGCCTTTCTCCATGGCTGTTTCATCTTCCTGGGCTGCCTCCTTCCACCAATAGTCTTCCACCACTGACAGGCCAGGGGACTAACAGCCTTAGCACACAGGAATGTGGAGCTGGCACACTTAGGGTGAATGTCTCAGTGGAAGCTCTGGTATAGAGGGGAAATGTCAGCTAAGCCCACCTCTGTCTACCCACAGTCACATACCAAGTGACCAGAGCCCCAAGCTTCCTAAAGCTGTTGATTTGATTAGCAGTGGTGAGCCAGGGGGTTCTAGGATTAAATACTCCTGCTTTTGAATAAAATCTCTTGATATTCTGAGGAGACCCAAACTCTCCCTGGATTTTCTCCCTGATAAAGACCTGGGCTCTGGTGGCCATCAGAGTTCAAAAGGGGTCCACAAAACCCACTGCAATGTCCAGAAAAGGCTGGCCTTCCACAAGGGTGCAAGATTACCTGCTGAACTGATAAAGCCAGAAAGTATTAAAATACAACATGGATGAGGGTACAGCACAACAGGCTGTCTAGCTCCTTTTTGTATTAAGAGCATATACATATGCCTTTCAGTTCAGTAATCCTATTTTACTGACAAGATAAAAAAAAATACTAGTACAGAATGTTGTCCTACCAGAAATATTTATGGCAACAAAAAGAAACATTGGAAAAATCGTATATATCCATCAGTAGGTGGAAGAGTGAATAAAGCACAGGTGTAGCTGCTCTATATATGAGATACTGTGTAGTTAGTTAAAAGAAGGAGCTCTATGTTTAACTATCAGTCTTGAAGCATTTTGGTTGTGAAGACATGCCTATCCCATTGAAAACCCCAAACCGATTTTCCCTATGGGCATGTGACTGATATGTTTGTATGCATAAGTGAAAGGGCAGGCAACAAGGCATACTAACCTCCTAGGGAACTGAGGATTAAATGTTCCCTTTATGCATCCCTGAATTGCTTCAGCGATTATAATAACAACGTTACCTCTACATCTCTAGTATGAAAATAGGAATGTGATATGAATGTGGAAGGGGTGGGAAAGAGAAACTGTGGACCCAGGCACTTGGGTTGAGGAAGCAAAGGTCAGAAGTGGGGCTGGGAACTCAGTGAGATGGAGGGGTCAAAAGGGACAGTCACTACAGAGCAGCTCACTTGCTTCCAGTGCAGCCTGGGAGGAACAGAGAGCCTGGATAACTTGTACTAGATGTGGTACAATTGTACACCATAAGACAAAACTGCCTCCCAATTGCAGAATGAGGCTCTCTATTGGATGTTATTTTGAAGAAGTTAGTGAGATTCATTGGATCCAAACTAATCGAAGGGGAAAGAAATTTAATCAATAATGTCTAGCACAAAGTAAGTGATTGGCATATTGTAGGAAAGCACTTCTGTACGCTTATTTGCTACAAGGCACAATCCTGTAACATAGGCAGGTATGGTGACCCTCATTTTCCCCAAGAGGAAACCTAGCTACAGAAAGGTTTAGTGACATGCCCATGGTTAAAGGAGCAGACAACAGAGACTTTCTGGCTCCACAGTCCTAGCTCCTGGAAGCCACACATAACATGCTATCTGTCCAGGGAGAAAATCTGAACCCAAATGTCACATTCTTACAACCATCCAAGGAGACAGGGGAAGAAAGTGCCCTGTGCTGTGCTCTGCTGCAGGGGGGGGGCACACACCTATGTTGGGAGGGAACAATACTGTGGTCAGGAGCTCTGGTCCTCCAAGCCCAGGCTGGGCAGAACTGAGCCAGAAGTTCTTAGGTCATCATTCAGGTTTAGGTCAGAGTCTGCTGAGGTGCAAGACTTAAGGAAGTACCTGAGGTTTAAGGGGAGTGGGGACGCATTCTCTAGGCTGATCTCTTTGGGAAAAATAGGGTGGGACACAAGACAGCATTTCAAGTTTCTAGGCTCACTAGCCTAGGAATTTGCCAATACTTACTATGGAGACAGGGATAAATTTCAGGTAGATGGTGGTCTCCTCATTCACATCCTTTTCCTGCTAGGGGTAGAAAAAAAGGTTTCTTATGGTAGGTGACCTGGAGGAAGTAGTAGTCTTTCCTCTCTGGCCCAAGGGCCAGGGTAGTGACTGATCCAGAAGTGGACTCCCCCAGGAATCACCCAAGCCCAACCAGGTGCTTCCAGGGCTGATAGCCTAGAGTCCAGTGGTGGGTGGCAAGGGTGACAGAATAATTTAAGGTTTTCACAAGAGTTCTGCTGGGATGTGAGGAAAAGAAATTTGGGAAATCTCTAGTTCCATTTCTCCTAGCCCCCTGGATTTCCTGGAGCTCTTGGGCCTTCTGGTAAGGACAGTGGGTGTTGCTTCTGCATGGACCATAGGCTCATGTTACCCATTAGGAAAGCTCCAGGGCAGACCACTAAGGACTTGGCCCTCAGGGATTATTTCAGAGTGAGATTCTGCATCTTCAAAGAGAAAATCTGTATGGTTCCTTGAGCTCACGTGCTTCCTGAAGAGTCTTGAATGAAAACATGTTCCAATTTTATCTGTCCCCATTTTTTCTCAAGGCACCTCCTTCTCCTCCCTGTTGATTCTGAGTCTATATCCCTCCATTTCCCTATGCCCTTCCCCTCCTCCTTCTCCATTCTATTTTCCTTCTCTTTCTTTTGCCAGTTTCATCTTTCACTTTAATTCTCCCTCCATGGGGCCCGACAGAAGCTGGAATTGTGAAAGTGGCTTCTGTGACTTTTTCACCAAGATTATCCAACATGACACTCAAGTGAACTTTGCTGTCCTGAATTGACTCAGAGGGTGGAGTGAACGAGGTCCTCAGCTCTTCAGGGGCTGAAAGCTAGCTTGAGTGGACCACGTGGAAAGCCAGAGCTGGTGTAGGCTCTCCTAGTGGGGCAGAGGTTAACTGTGCTGACATCCCCAGTGACAGAGGCCCTCTACCTCAACCCCTCCTCAGAGATGGGACACACAAGTAGCTCTGGTTACAATCACCCAGAACCGGCAACAGGGCTTATGGCGTTGCTGCTTAAAAACAATAACATCAACTAACATATGGCGATGCCATCAGCAATCACCAACAGAAGAAACGTTCTCAAATGAGCCAGACAGGGAAGACTGTGTTTCTGAGACTCTCCCTGTGTTCCTGGGGATCCCGCAAGTGCATGTGAGCGTGGTCCCCAGCCTTGGACTGGGCAAACTCAGCCCCAAATAGGGTGCCAAGGTTTAAACTTCTCTGGCAATCTGGGATACCTTTGGAAAGACTAGGTAGGTGGGCGCCTACCTTCTGAGACGGATGGGATCCTTGTAGGATTGGGGAGTTTCTGGAGAAGAACATAGTTTGGGAAAGCCCAGGCCCCAGTCCCGACCCTGGTCCCTTCTTTCCCCCTCCCTTAGCCCTTGAATATCGGGTGAGATTGATTTCCTCCAGGTGGGGAGCCGCGGGAGGAGCAACTTCTCTTTTCCCCAGAGCCTAAGGAGACTGCGGCACGCGCTTTATTGCAACAAAGAAGGGACTCAGTGGTGCCCACCGGTTCGCCCCTCAAACTTGCGGTGGGAAAGACACTCTTTTGAAGGCGGCACGTCAATTACAGAAAAGGATGACCAGCGAAGACCTTCCCAATCTCTCCGAATTCCCGTCCCCCTCGCTCAATAGATTCGTATTTAAAATCAGCCCAGACATTTTCATTTGAATTCTAGGGGTTGAGCTCAGAGTCATCCCATTTACTCCCAGACCGAAAATAACCATAGACAACGAAAACGAACAAAATCCAACTGTTTTACAAAATAACGCGCGTTCCGGGGCGGGTGAGCACCCAGGTGAGCGAGTCTTCGGTGGTTTTGATTGAGAAGCCGGGATCCACAAAGGAGGGGGTGGGGTGGATCGTAATGGGGGGGGGGGGGAACTATTCCCCGGAGTGGCCGCGCGCGCGCGCGCGCGGCGCGTGCGTGAACGGAACGCCTTAATATATGCTGCCATTAAGAATCCCGGCAGCTCCAGCGCTTGGGGCGCCGGGACGCATGTGTTGCCGGAATCAATCCGTGGGGGGAATGCAGATTGGGCTGCGACCCACTGGGTTTGATTTATGAACTGTTACACTAGCGATTGTTTACACATTGCATTTCAGAAACCTGGCACACCCTCCCCACAGCGGGTTGCGGGCTCAAGATACCAAAAGCTGCTGCAGCCGCCTGGGTCTTCTCCCCCCCCCCCATCTTTCTTCCTCCATCCCCCCTCCACATACCTGGGAGAGGAGTCTCCTGCAGCTGCCCCCCCCCCCGCCCCTATCTGCTCCAGGAAATCAGATTTCGATTTCAAGGAACCTTTTGACCCAATTCAAGTTTCCCTACCCCCTCCTCCCTCCCTTGCCCCCAGCAGACCCCGGACCTGGGTGGCCCCCGCCAGTGTTTACTCTGAAATGTTTACTTCCCTGTAAAGCCATGCGGAGCCTATAAATAGAAGACGGGGAAACAGCTAGACTGGCAGATCAATAGGGCCCAGTCTCCTCGCCATTTCGGCTGAGCTGTCTTATTAATTATGAAAGGATTCACCTGATCCCAGCCTGGGAACACAGCCTCTTGGCCCCTCAGCTGGAGCCCTTAATGGCGGTTCCTCCGCAAGCTGTCTCAGGCCACCGCAGAGGAAAAGGCTAAAGGCTGTTAAAGCCGGACCTGCAAGGGACCTTGGTGTAGACGCAGACCCACCTGGGGCGGGGGCGGTGAGCTGGCGGCCAACGCTGTCCCCGCGCAGCGCCTTCTTTGCTGGGAAGCACGCCCAGTTCCTACTCCTCACCCAGGAAGGATTTCTGCTTTTACAATAACGGTTTAATTTCGAAATAACCTCTTTTTCCTCCAGTGGGCACAATTTTGGAGACGTGCCGAACTCTCCTCAGGGATGAGGGTCGAATTAAAGACACCAAATCATCCATCGAAGTAGTGAACAGGTACATTTACCACCTGCGTTTTATGTCTCTGCGAAGTTGGCGGGAGGAAACCTGGTAGACAACAATAAAACGACACCACCCCATTTCAAACAATAACTTTTATTTTATACTTCTCTATACTTTGTAGCAAATTTTTTTGCTGAATTTAATTTATAATAAACTTTTTAAATTACATCTCTCTCTTTTTTTTTAAAATCAAGGCTCTTTTTATGTCAAAATCTTTTTAAACTATATTTTTAGATTAACATTGAACGCCCCCCTTGTGATCTACACCGTTGGATATTCAGTTATTACTGTATGTGTAACAGCTAAAACAAGAGAGAGGAGGGAACATAAAGGCAGTGGACTTGAAAGATACATCAACAATAACAGTGACCTTAGCATCATCTTCTGATAACCACCACTACGCCAGAGTTGCCTCGACTCCTTTCCTCTCTCTATCTCCTATCTTTCAAACCCAAAGTCCACAATCTGTCTTTTCACGTTATCTGGAGGAGAAATGTGCAGTGGAAATGATCAAAACAAGGTACTGTGGAAGAAAGACGTGAGAGTGAATTATTCACCATATGCTTCCCACGTGGTCATCTCTTTTGAATCCATTCCCCTGGCCTTCTCCTCTCCTCGCTTTTCCTAGTGCTAGGAGGAGCCCATCATTTTTCATGTTATTAACATGATTAATAAAGTAGGTGGCCCAGGGCCGTTCCTGAGATTCTTTTGCCAAAAAAAAAATTTAAGAAAATAAAATTTTTAAATGGGGGTGAGTTTGCCGTTTTCTTACTTTAATGTGAAGACGGACTAAATCTGAGGTCCGATTTGGGCTGTGCTTGCTTGCTTGCTTACTGATGGGTACCATTTGACAAATCAAACAAGGAATCAAACGAAATCAAAAAGAGAATCAAGGTTTCCCACAATCCTATATGAATGTGTTCAGCATCACAGAGAATCACAACGTCCCCAAAGAACGAATGGATCTTCCTCTCGATTTCTGGGAGCATGGAGTGAGTGTGGGTGCGCGCGCGCGGGACAGGGGAGGGTGGGGGCGGGGGTAGAGCTGGCCCCCGGGCTCAGAAGGAAAGCCAGGTCGCTAAAGCTGCCGAGAGAGACACCAGGAGCACGGAGAAGGCCGGGAGCAGGGGCCCCGCCGCCCCGTTGCCGCTGCTGCAGAGTTCGAATAAGCTGCCTTGAATGTTGAGGTTTTTGGATTCTTTTCTCAGTTTATCCCACATATCTTTCGCCCCTTCCTGGCAATCCGTAAGGGCTGTGACCGTGCAGCTGTGGAAATCCTCCCAGTATCTGGCGAGGAATAGAACAAAAACAGAAAAAGCAGATTCACTTTGAGCTCCAGAGCACCGGGGATCGGCGCCCCCGGCATCTGCTTCTCCCGCAGCCTCGCCAACTTCCCAGGATGCCTCCTCCCTACCTCGCCTCCACCTCCCGGTGGCCCGGGCCGCAACTCGGTCGGGGATTCCAGGACCTATGCCCATCCCAGAAACACTGTCCAAGGAAGAAAAGCCTCCTCTTGCCCTGTGTGGATTTCCCCCTTTGGAGTGCCAGGAACCCCCTCCCCCCTTCCGCTGGCAGCCGGGAGACTAGTCGTCCCCAGTGCGTCCCGCTGGTACCTCGGCCCACGCAAACAGATTGCTCGCTCTCCTCGGGGAAAGCTAGGAAAACAGCGCTAAGCCTTGCAAGCAGCCGCCCATTAATGCCTCTTAGCTTGCAAGATGGGTTGGTTACACGCTCCGAGCGCTGGTCCCCCTCCCGGAGTTTCACATTCTCCTCCCCCTCGCCCCTTCTGTCCCCCTCCTTCTCTCGGCGGGACTCTCGCTTTCACCCTCATTTCGCTCCCTCCACCCACCCCACACCTTCCTTTTGTTTCCAGAGTCTCCTCGTGCCCCCGTTCTTTCCTTGTTTTCCTCCCTTTCGTTCCCCATTTCCTCTTCCTCCGCGTCTTCCCTGGCCGGGGTCCTCCGAGACCCTCCGGAGCCTCGCTCAGCACAGTCTCGCGGCTCAGATTGCGTCTGGAAAGTCACCGGGTCGGCGAGTGCTCGTCCCCGGACACCTGCGGCCAGCTGGGTAAGGCTTCTCTGGCTTTGCCAACCTCGGTTCCGGGGGGGCCCCCTGCGCGCTGGGTGCTTCCTCTCCTCTCCAGTCTTGGTTTGGTCCCCAGGTGGTCTGGGCTCCCACTAGCGCCCACTTCCCCAGACCGGGATTCCAAGGCGGGCATGGTGCCTATCCCTGGCCAGCCCTTGTTCTCCCCACCTCCTGTTCTCCCCTCCTCCGGTCACTTCCTGGAGTCACGCGTGTAAATCAGCACTTCCTCCTCCGGGTGTCAGATCCTAGCCACGCCCCCACAACCTTCATCCAACTGTCCTTTAAAAAAAAAAAAAAATTCCCCCTTTCTTCTGGAAACTCAAAATAGATCTCAAGACTAAATATAATCCCAAACCGTGATCGATTCCTGGGGCGCTGTCTCCTTTCAGGGCTGAGTCGATCTTTGCGTCTCGGCGAGTCGGTTTCTGGCTCTCACTTCACACACCCTCACCCCCCACCCCCAGCCTGACAGGTCACTACAGCGGCCCTAAGGGCAATTTAGATGCATTTCTCTCTCCCTTGCGCTTGCTCACCTGGACTGTAAGCTTGCTGAAGACAGGCACTATGTTTGATTCATCCTTGTTTCCACATATATCCCATCCAGTGAAATTACAAGTACATGTTGGATTGCCTAAATTTCAAGTTGTTTTTTTTTTAATGACCTCCTGAATCTCTAATTTATAAGGACTGAGGGACCCAGACAGGTCTTCCAGGTTCCACAATTTGTAATGAATAGTAAGATTCAGAAACACCAAGAGGCTGAGGGACACCTCTGCACAGTCCTTATGAAGTTGCATCTTCTGTGGGCTGTAGAAACTGCTCTTTGCTTTATGCACCCCCTCTTAGGGAAAGCACTTTCCTGAAAGATGGAAGTGGTGTAGAACAGATATTCACCTGGGCTGGGAGAGGTCAGCTCCATCCTGGAATTGAACAATCAGGACCACCAATTTATTGGGGCTTGATCCGGCTGTGGCCTGCAGCCTCAGGGAGGGGCCCTCCACATTTCCCTGTTTTCCAGGACCAAAGTCCTGCTAAAAAAAACTGAAACAGTTTGGAATAACCAGTTCCAGTCAGTGATGTGTAACCTTGCTCTGCCTTATAGAATCATTCTTACCTCTCACCAGACATTTGGAATTAAGTGGCTTTTGTTCCATTCCCAAGAGGAAGGTACAGTCACTTGGCTGCTGTGGCTCCTAGAGGGCTTTAGGAAAGGATGCAGGAAGATGACCTCCTCACTGATTTAGTCATAATTTAAATACATCCTCTCCTGCTAGTTAGGAAGAGAAGGCCAACACAGTATACAAAGGGTGGTATGGAAAATGGTCTCCTGGAAACAGGAGACACTTCTTACTTTGGCTTTATTATAAGGGCTACTGTAGGGCTACGAAAATACAGCTGGTTTTGAAAAAGAAAAGAAAAGTATGCTGCAGGGAATGGGAGGGCATTTCTAAGGTCTGCAGTAGCTAATTTGTGGAGGGTCTACCTCAGTAGACTTTTGATGAATAACTCATTTGCTAGTGCAAGCAAGCTTTCTAGGCAATCACTTAGAAAACATGACTGGGCCTGCCCTTAAAGTCCTCTCTCTTTGGGTCTGAATCTTGGGGATGTCATGCACATACAGAAGGGGTAATGATAAACAAGTGGGTAGCAACCTGTGATCAATTCCTGGAGCACACAAATGGGCTATCCACTGTGCAGAGATGGTCACTGGACATCCTTGATATTCTCTTCTTGGGCAAACTCCTCAGATACATTATATTGTTTTTAGCCTTTCAGGAACAGGAAGGGAGATTTGAGTAAGCTTGCCTGTTGCTTGCATTTTGTGGTGTAATTTTGAGGGGTGTTGTATCACCCACCCGACATGGATGGAAAGTTACTTTCCCTTTAGGTAAATCTCCAAATGCCTCAAATCCAAACCAACTGTCCAGAGTACTGGCACACATTCACAAGAAAACAAAGCAAGAAGATTGTCTCACAGTGAAGATTTTACAGAATGGGATACTAACTAGTAGCAGGAAGTCCAGCTCCACCATTCACTCCCAGAACCCAAGGGTACTTCTCTGTGGGAGTCTGTGAGGCCCAGGAGGGCTGGGACTTTGCTGCTGGCTAGAGGATCTTGCAAGCCCACCATGACAATGGAGTCCCATTAAACAGTGCAGTTTCTTTCTTCACAGAGTTGGCCTCCCCAGGCCAGAGAGCTGCCCATAGACTGGAGGGTGGTAGCCCGAAGGCTACTGCACAGATTTGTGCAAGGCACTCTGACCTGGGCAGAGTCCCCAGAAGATAAACTCAGTGGACCCAAAAGGATACTTACGTGCACACGGTCTTGATGTTTGTCTTGTCGTCCAGGCCCTGTGGGTAGTTGGCCATGCTGTCGCCCAGTTTGAGCAAACAGTCCGAAAAGCCCTTAAAGACTGCATCACACTTGCCTGCTGCTCTCACGGCCTGCACCAGGTAAGCTGCAGGGAGGAGGAGACAGTGGTCAGCAGTGTTGGGACCCACCTGACCACCCCACCGACACAGCTTTTGTCTATCAGTGCAATGCCCAGCCTCTAGGCGATTCAGGTGAAAAGTGTAGGAACAATTTGGCCCTGTAGTGCCATATAAGCACCAAGCACGCCTGTGGTTCAGATTGTTTTTGTGTGAACGCGTGTGGGTGTGTGGGAGAGAGTCCATTCCTTTCCTCCTGTTCCCCCCTCCCCGATGGCGTTTGCTATCTTTTTTGGTTTCCATCGCCCCCCTCTTCTCACCTCCCTCATCTCTTTTATTTTTCTCTTTCTCCTCACTCCCTCCTTCGTCTCCTAACACTTCCCCAGCAAGCCGTGTCACGTCTCTCGCAGTGTGATCTTCCATTTCTGAGGTGACAGAGGGTCTAGGCATCAGGGTGTGGGGAAATGGTGGCTAGGTGTGAGGTCACCCAGCGGAACCCAATGCGAAGCCGCCCAGTGAATAGCTCCCAACCCCCCCGCCCCCTTCCTGGATTCAACACACACTGCTGAGTCAACGGATGAATATAGTTTTTGTTTGTTTTTTATAAAACACTTTTTTTTGCCTTTTCTTTTTTGGTACTGGGGAATCAAACCCAGGACATTGTACCTTACTAGGGAAGCTCTTTACCACTGAGCTATATCCCAGCCACGAATAAAGTTTTTGGAAGCTACTGTCATCCAAATGGGTTGATATACATATATATATATATATATATAATATCTATAACAATATTGTTGTTATTTATATTGTTATAATATACAACTATATATAACATAAAATAATATATAAAATATAACTATATATATAACATATAACAAAATATAATAAATGGATTGCCCACCCTGGAGTCTGTCTCAAGTGTGACCCCTGAAAGCATATCACTATGTCCGACTGGCCAGAGGACACCTAACCTAGCTGTGGTAATGATTAATCCCAGGTGGTCAGGGCCAATGGCCAGCTGGGACCGCTGATGTATCTCTGATTCTGACCCCTGATCACCTCCAGGAGCCTGGGGCCCATGCTTCCCTCCACCTCTTTTTCAGCTGTCCATCTCTTCCCACCCTCTTAACATTCCAGGAAAGATCCCTTGTCACACCAACCCAGGGACCAGGCATTTCTTTCCTTTTCCAGATTGAAGCTAGACTGCTAAAGCCAACCTCGGTGTCTCAGTGTTCCAGGCCTCGAGAGCTCCTGGCTTCAGCCAGAGGGAGGGTGGGTGGGGGCGCAGGAGGAGGAGTGGGAAAACTTGGGACACTAGACCCCAAAGCGCTAGACTAGGTGGAGATGGGTTCCAGATCCTCAGGCACAGGGCGGTCGTCTTTCCTTTCCGCCCTGAGGCCAACCAACCTGGCTAGACTTTGTGTAAATATCAGCCCAAAATACCCGAGATGCCCGGGAGGGTAAAAGAGGAAAGCAAATCTACGTTGTAGGGACCGGGAAAGGGTGTTGATTGAATCTTAGAATTGAATCGGCCTTCCTATCTGGGGATTCTGGCTGGGCTCAGGCCTTTTTCTCCGCAGTGCCAGTGTCCACCGAAGTTCCTGTATGAATGCCACTGGTAGGGCCAAACAGCCTCCCGCCCCCTCCCCACCATCCCTTCTACGACCCCACGCAGCCATCTGACGCCGAATGCCCCGAGGGATGCAGACCAGGGGAAGGTGACCGAAGCGCTGCAGCCCCGGAGCGCGCGCGCGCGCCGTTTGCAGATTGCTGCAGGAAGAGCTAGGCGGGTCTCCAGCTTTCTAATCCGGAACGGGAAGCACTGGGGAAAGGCGACCAAGGTTAACTTCGACCTCAGCGGGGGCAAATCCATAAGCCTTCCTAAACTTCCTGATTTCCGTTGCACACACACACACACACACATACACACACAACACACACACGCACAACACATACACACAACACACACACGCACAACTACCCCCGCGACTGCTGTGACAGAGAGTCAAGCACGGACATAGCATTTTAGGAATAAATCTTCGTTCGAATAGAACTGGGTCAAGATGAAAACTTGCTCTATAACGCATGATATGAGTATTCCTATCAATTTTGCAGCGAAGAAACACACGAAATGCATACCACTCTCCCCTGCCCTGAACTCTTTTCATCCCTTACCTCTGCCCTCAAAATTCGGTGTTGAAAAAAGAAGCCCCTGGATGTACTATTTTATTTTTTTTCCTTCGAAAGGAGATTTAGGGCTTGCCGGGGGAGAAAGAAAGCGCTTCTGTCACATTATCTTTCCAGGCGTCACTGGGAAGACTGCACACCGCGCATGTGTGAGTGAGTGCATGTGTAAAATAAGGAGTCATGAAAATTTCTGAATTTTGCAACTGTAAGTCCTTGGGCCGTTGCTTGTGCTGGGAGGCCTGAGCGAGTGCGCGGGACGGATTTTGCAGACGCGTGCTTTCCGGCAGAGCAGCTGGAAGCCCTAACTCCTCTCCCTGTCCTTGCTGCAAGCCGCGGGGCGGGCAGCCTGTCTGCCTTCCTTCTCCCAGTTTCGTGCGGTTTCTATTCGTTCATCCATTCATTCGTTCCACGTCTCATTCATTCCCAACTTCCTCCCGCTGCATCTTCATTCGTTCACTACCCTCTCCACTTCCCCGCCTCTCCCCAACCCCCGCTTTTCTTGCCAAGTGTCAGTAATTTGGGACAGCTTCCAGCCATGAATTAGTAAAGACCAAGGCTCTGGTGGAGAAAAGGGCAGACATTTGGGAACAAATAGGCTTCTTTTCAATTCCATAGCTAAAACCCCCAGCCAAAAAAATACAAACAACAAAAAAGAGAGATCATTTTGACTAAGTTCATATGTTTAAAGCACATCCTTCATGCACAACCTCTGTCTTTTTTTGTTGTTGTTGTTATTTCACTCTTCAAAGTAAGGTTATTTCCCTTTGGAAAACTGAGTCCTGTATCTCTGGTTAAAATCCATATCTCAAAAGCCACCGCTGTCTCTTGCTGCCTAAAAATTTGCAGACTAATTACAAAATGCCACCCTCACTTCCAACATGGAAAAGGGATTCAGTGCCATAGGAATACTCTTTATTGCAGTTCTTTGAAAATGTTAGACATCCAAAGCAACCAGATCCAGAGTTAACTCATTAGAGTTGAAGGAAAAGATCAACACCCCCCCTTATAATTTTTCTGCAAAAAAATCATCCCTTCAACATGTCATTAAATGCATAAGACCCTAATGCAAGCAATCTTTTAGTGTTGAGACCTCCAAACCCTATTCCCTTCACATTTCTTTTGAAGAAAAATGGTATGCTTCCCTCTTAGCCCAGATCAATTCCTCAACTCCCTCCCTACAAGATAAGAGCAAACACGACAGCCCAAAATGATAGGAGCTAACACTTTCCTTCATCTCCAGAAAACCCGTTTGAACAGTTTCTATTTTTTTCTCTTGCCCATTCTATTAATAACCTGCTTCACTTTCACTTTTAGGCTACTGTTAATTAATGTTCTGACCCGGCTTCAGAGAAGGGGCTTTTCTAGTACTTCCTCCTACAACGTTTTCTGTATTCTGAATAGGAAAAAAAATGTAGATGAACTTTAAAAAACCCGCTGACAGTGTCTCTGAGGCTCAACATTCCTTAACATAAAATGGGAAATAAAGAAATCAGTCCACAATTCACCCTAAGTGAACAAAATAACAAACATTGCAAACCCTGCTTAACCATTTCCTACACACACACACACACACACACACACACACACACACACACACACACACACGAGTACAGATGCCGGTCTGCAAAGTAACAGAGCCTAAAAAGTGTATCCACGTATATATGACTGAATGCATACTCCTCAATGGCAAGCATAATAAAATAGGTGGTCGGCGGCTCCCGATCTGGGTTTTGGATTTGCTTCTCAGCCTGGTCCGCGGCGCGGAGTGCAAAGGCTGCGGATTTGGGGGGGAGGGGGCGGGAGAATGACAAAGTTCTAAATGCAGCAGTTTGAGTGGAGCACTGGAATATCTGTGCTTTCTGCACAATAACTTTCCAGTCCTAGCTGCCTAGCCATCTTGTTCCTGCAGTCACCTTTCGACCCTTCCAAATAATATCTTGCAGTATCGCAGGGGCTAATGCCCCGGCGCGCAACGAACCTGGTCTAACACCAGAGAGGGAAAGAAAAATGAATGTGTGCGTCGGGGGGAAAATGGGGGGAAACCCCTCTTTGGAAAAATAGCTGGTTGCACACACTTCCTGAAGAACGCCTGTAGTCTCCTTCTTCAGGAAAATCAAACCGGGACGCTGGAGTCCCCAGGAACCAGTGCCTCCCACCCTCTGAGGTTTGCAGCAGGGTTCTCCGCACCCTGGGGCCGCTGCGGGCCAGCCCGACCCTTCCCGCTTCTGAACCCGGCTGGCTATCTCCAGCCACCCGCCGAGAGCAGGGTCCGGCGGCCACTTACCTATTTGCACCGCGAGGATCAGTGAAATATATCTGCCGTTCAACTTAAGTCCCATCCTACGTTTAGTCAAACCATTTGCGGCCGCAGACCTTTAAATAGTTAGTTTAGAGAACGCGGGGGAAAGCTGAAAAATAGGCATTGCCAACAAGTTCCGAGGACGACCGCGACTTTATGCACGGGGAAGGCAGAGGGAGGAGAGAAAGAGAGGGATTGGGGAAGAGACAGAAAGAGAGAGAGTGAGAGAGAAAGAGAGAGAGGCTGGGGGGGGGAAGAGCTGGGAATGGTTCACTCCATTAGGAGGGGGCGGAGGAAGCACTGCCTCACGCCCACGAGCAGGCCTGACGTGGGGGATGACACGGAATGATTTTTTTTAATATAGACACCTTGGTAGAGAATCGCCATTTATAGTCATCAGACGCTGGAATTAATCAGATATCTCCAATTAATGTGCGATCCGAACGCTATCTCGCCTCCCGGGGCTGAACACTTATCCACCTCTACGGCCACCCCCGCCTCCTCCTGTTCTTGGGGGCCCCCAACTCCGCCCCCTCCCTGCGCAGAACCGGGGCTCCCCCTCCCCTCCCCGCCTGGAGCCGGGGAGTCCTGGCGCGCCCACTCGATTGTTTCAACCTGCTCCCCCTCCTCCCCCAGCACGGCAGCGAATCCAGCCCCTTTCCTACGAGGCAGCCAGGTTTAAAGGAGCTCGGGACGAAAATGGAAAACAGCAAAACCGATTCTACTAATTCAAAAGCCCCCTTCGGTCTGTGGACGCCCCGCACTTGCCTACCCTCTTTTTCTCCAGCCCGGTAGCTGAGCACTTGACGCTGCCTGGAGCGCGTGAGTACACAGCCCGGGCCCCCATTGCGCGCGCCGGGCGCGCGCCCTCTCTCTCTCTCTCTCTCTCTCTCTCTCTCTCTCTCTCTCTCTCTCTCTCTCTCTCTCTCTCTCTCTCTCTCACACACACACACACACACACACACACACAACTCGCACACGTCCAGGCCCAAGAGAGGCGTGTTTGGTCTGCCCACTTGGGACCCCTAAAACATATACCGCAGGCCCTCCGTGAATTTCACCACTAAGGATGTCTATCCAGGCGAAGGCCGATTCACCAGCCCCAGTAGCTTCTTGTGAAGCTATGGGTACAGAGTGGCAGCCTCTGCCAACACAATTTTCGGATACTAGTGATTTACAAACTCTCGAAGCTTTAGGAAATTTCCGAGGCCAGAGCCAGTGTGCAGGCTTCTTTCTAATCTTGATGCACCTCTTAGGATGATTTGTTGGGCCGCAGTCACACGTACACACACGCACACACGCACATCACGTACGCACACGCACACCAGGACCCACACACACCTGCCTTGTTTTCTGATGGATCCAGTGTAGACGTAGCCTACTCTACAACGACGCAAACGCAGCTTCTGCAGATGCATTAATGCAAGATGCAATGTATTATAGAAGACACTTTGAATTAAGAATTAAAAACAAGGCGATTTTCTTTCTAATCTCTTTGGTTCTTTGCTTTTTCTGCATTGCTCACCACCCTTCTAGTCAGATGCTAAAGTCACTGACCAACATTATTCCTAAAGCCTGCAAAGAAAAGAAAATGACCCCTATATCTTACAAGACTACCCGAGAGAACGTCAAAATATTAAATAAGCAAGGAAGCAACAAAATGCAAACGAATGGAGGACATAGGGCGTTAAATATGCCATTGCGATCAGCGATCCACTGGAGAACCTTCCCGGCGTCCTCAACACAATCCACTTGGAGGGAGGGAACGATATATAATGGGGGGAGAGGGGTGGCAGGAAAGGAGCTAAGGGGGAGCCGCGGGTGTCCTGACTGCAGCATTTCGTGACGTGTCCTGCACTGGGTGGCCCCTTCTCGCGTCCTGCGGAAACCGCAGACCCCCAGGTGGCTGCTCCGGCCCGGGGGGCGGAGCCACGGCGCCCCGCCCCTGGTGATCTCACCAGCAGGCGGAGGAACGACCCGGGACTCGCCTTTCCGACGTTCCAGGAGGCTGTACGGAGCCGGGTACCCCGACCAGCTGAAACGACCAGTGGGTCGAGGGCGGGGCCAGGACTGGTGGTGAGAGGAGGGCGTCTCTCGGACCCGCCCCCGGAGCCCACCAATGGCAGGGCGGAAGTTGGCCAGGGGCGGGGCTTCTGCAGCACCGCGCCCGCCCCCTCGGGCTCCGCCCCTCCCGCGGGCCCGCCAGTGGCGGCCGAGCCTCGGTGGCTCAGTCGCTCCCCGAGCTTGAGTTGGGGGTGGTTGAGATCGCTGTCCCTCCACGTACTGGTCTTTCTTCAGTTTAGCCGCCCACCCGGATCTTTCAAAGTGTGTTCTCAGGGTGCCCTGGGATGCTCCCCACCCCATCTTTTCTCCTGCAAAGTCGAGGACTTCAGAGGTGTGGGAGGAGGCGGCACAGGGCGAAGCCAGGTGCCCCCCAGCCGCCGCCCGCGGGCCCCGCGCCCTGCCAGCCCCGCACCCGCGCCCCGAGGCCGGTCCGCGCGGGGCGGCTGCCGTGCACTGCCACCTGCAAGCTGGGAGGGGCTGTCTCTCTCCACTTCCCTCCTCCGCGGGCCCGGATCCTCTCTGGCATGGCTCTTGCAAGTTCGGGCCCAGCAGAGTTAGTTCAGCAGGGTTAGATCTGGAGGATGAAGAGCTGAAGCAGATGCCAATGATGCTCTTACCTTAGCCGGGCACCGGCGGCCCACGCCTGTTACCCCGCCTACTCTACAGTCTGAGCTCTGAGGATGGGCCGCCAAAGACATCAGGGGCAGGAAAGTCCATGAGACGCTTATCTTCAATTAACCACCAAAAAAGCTTGAGCTGTGGCTCAAGTGGTAGAGCACTGTCCTTGAGAGGGTAAACAAAAAGCTCAAGGACAGCGCCCAGGCCCTGAGTTCAAGCACCAGACAACACCCCCCCCCCCCCCCCAAGCTCTTTTAAATCACAGGCTTTTCTACATGTTAGGTTCCAGTTAGGCTTTATTCTTTCTAGTTCCTTAATTAAAAACAACTCAATCTCAGCAGGCTGATTATTTGGAAACTCTGGAGCAACACCACGGTAGAAGTTGGCAGGGGAGAATGTTTCTTTTCGTTTATTAATTTGTCACATGTGGAGTCAAATATACTTTAGGAGAAGAGTGGAGGCCAGAGCAGCCCAGGTTTGTCCTCACCTTCACATGACCTTTGCTGCCCCCACACTGCTGTAAATTGCAGCTTTCTAATCTGAGAAACGAAGAGCACAGGCCTACCATATCCTCTCTAAAGCTGTTTTCAACTTTGACATTTGGTGAACCAGGGTTTTCCCAGAAAATACAACAACTGTCTTTCTGTCTTTCTTTTTGTTGTTCTTTCTTCATTTCTACCTTCTTTCTTTCTTTCCCACCACCATTGGTATTTGAATTCAGAGCCTCAAGCTTGCTGGACTGGCACTCTACCACTTGAGCCACACTTCTAGCTCTGCTATTTTGGAAATGAAGCCTTGCAGACTATTCTACCCAGCCTGATTTCAAACCTCCATCCTCTAGATCTCCGCCTCCTGAGTAGCTAGGATTACAAGTATGAGGCACTTTTGCTCAGCTCAACTTACTTCTATTTGCTAAGCAATTTCAATCAAAGTTTAAGAAAAATATAGTCCAAGAAAGGAGGAAAAAAAAGGCATTGGTGCTGTTTGGTGCTGTTTGTTGAATCCAGTCTAAGACACCCCTAAAGTAGGTCTGCATAATTAAGGAATACATATGCAAAACTCTTTTATCTTTAAAGCTTCCTGGAGGAGAACATGCCTAATTTTAAGTCTGATTTGGCACTAGCTTGCTTCCTCAGTTTTAGGTTGCTTACCGTCCCAGTTTGACAGGGAAGCCCTCCAGTTGATTCCCCAACTCCCTCTACCAATCCATCACACACGAATGGACTTGCCAGAAGATGCCATCTCAAATAATATCCCCTGAAAATTATTTGCATGAGCAAGTTGCCAGGGCCACCATGAAATTCCATCTCTGTCTTCTAGGTCAGGAAAGAATTTAAGGTTGTATTAGGGTTCTCTCATAAATTCAGTCTGCCATCTTTTCCCCTTCAACTGGAGCCTTTAATCAAATATGAAGGGGCATGTGTATAGCTCTTTTCATGGAAATAACTATACTGTATTTAAATAACCATTTTAATGAGGAGAGTAATGAATTTTTAATGGAAATATGTCAGTTAGGGAGCCAATAAAAGCTCACATTGAAAGGTCTGTGTCTACTCTTGCATTTGATACTTGGGAAGGTGATGGGTCTCATGACTCTTTGGTCATGAGGTTCTAAAATTAGTTGAAACCTCTAGTCTTGAAATCTATGACTGACTGAAAAAAATCTTATTTTAATACAGAAATTTGAACTCTGGAAGGCAATTCTCTGTTAGAAATGTATGATTAGCTTTCTTCCTAAAAAATAAATGCTTTTCTTATGGAATATACACACAGAAAAAATGCCCAAAGCAAAGATGCACAGCTTGTGGGTTTTAAAGGGAACATCTGAAGCTGAGAGTTGACAGCTCATGCCTGTATTCCTAGCTAATCAGAAGGCTGAGATTGAGAACCAGAGTTCAAAGCTAGCCTGGCAGACAAATTGAAGATACTCTTATTTCCAATTAACCAGCAAAACACCAGAAGTGGAGGCCTAAGTGGTAGAGAGCCAACCTTGAGCAAAAAAGTTAAGCAAGCCTGCCAGACCCTGAGTTCAAGCCCTAGTACTGGCTCTCTCTCTCTCTCCTCACCTCTCTCTCTCTCATCTATCTTCTATGGGATACCTGTATCATATCAGGATTCTTCCAGCAACAATGTTTTCACCAATGTAGCCACTCATCCTTGGACCTTTGTTGGACTTCTAATTAATAAACCAAAAGAACCCTCTTTTGTTATGCAGTTATCAAGCCTCAAGTGCTTTATTATGGTAATGCAGAGCAGACTGATATGGAGATCTAACTGTCCAAAACTGTAGTTTTTTGTTTTTTTTTTTTTTTTGCTGGGTGTAGGTCGGGGGGTGTACATGTCCTGGGGCCTAGGTACCTGTCAGGGCCTGGGTGCTGTCTGTAAGGTTTTGTACTCAAAGCTGGTGCTTTGAGCCATTTCTGGCCTTTTTGGTGTTTAATTGGAGATGAGTCTCTCAGACTTTCCGCCTGAGCTGGTTTTGAACTGTGAGCCTCAGATCTCAGCCTTCTGAGTAGCTAGGATAAAAAG